CAGTGTCCACACTGCTGCTACAGCCCAGTGTAGCACCACTCTGCTGTACTTTGCATTAATTTGTTGCAATAACTGATACAGAAGAGAAGAACGAGAACTAATACTGCCTGCAGGACTCAATGAATTTTACTTAACTAGCATATTATTGTAGGCTGATAGTAGAATGTCACATGAACGCAGATATAATCAAATTCTGTTTGGGGCATCATTTATTTAAAATACTTCAAGCTCCTTGCTGGCAGAGCAACAGCGAATTAGCGTGCTATGCTGTGCACTTCAATTAAAAAGCAGCCTCATCTTTCCCATTTCCAAGGTACAGCAGAGCAAATCTAATTGTGCCATGCAGTCAGCTCTCATCTTCGCAGAGTAACCAGGGCTTTGGGGTTTTTTTTCTTTTTGTTTTTTGACAGATTTGTTGTCCTCTGAATGAGGCAATGTAGGCTTTTATGAAACTTGCCTCCTAATTGCAGGCAATAAACACAAGCACAGCCAGCAGCAGACACTGTAGCAAGTACAAGTGAAGCAAAATGAAAATAAAGTTAAGAAAAGAACCACAAAGCAAGTTCATTTTACATATGATCTGAATAGTTAAACCACCAGAATCTGGATTTCAGTGCTCACAAGAGACATATACATTCCTTCTTCAATATAAACTAAAAAAACCCTCAAATAATTCCCCAAAGCTAGACCTGAAATGCTGAGATAGGCAAAGATTTTTTCTATTTTGGGGGTTAGAAGGTATGACTAATTAATGAGAAATAGTTATACACGAGGATTGTATTAACTTTTGCAATATTTGCTTATAGTACTAAGGCTAAGATCTTTGAATGTGAGATTAGCTTTTGACTTGAGACCTTGTACATACTGATTATCTCTCTGCAAGTGAACAACCAAGTCCTTTTATACAGTACTCATTTTCTAATCTTGGTACAAAGAATACAGTGCCTTTGGTTAGGAATTGAACAGGGTGAATCCACAGAAATGGTTGTCTGAATCGACTCCAGGAGGGCAGGTACTGGAAGGTCCCACTTGGACTGGCACTAACACCACCACCAGTGAGGCTGGCCACAGCTTTGCCTGCCTGAGCACTAAAATCTCCAGAGATGGGGAGTACACAGCTCCACCGGACAATATACTCCTCATCTGCATCACCTTGTTAGGGAATTCTTTTCCTAATGCACAATTTTAAACATTCAGCCTGCAATTTGCCCCTTGCTCTATCATCTGACATAACAGAGAATAATCTTCTATTTGTAGCTACTCTTGCAGCATCTTTAAGGGATATGTCCCTTCAGCTAGTTGTAAGCTGCTCTTTCCTTCCCTCTGTTGTTTTTCACTGTCCACTGGGCCAAGGAGACTCACTGATAATTTTTAAGACTTTGGGTACCTCTTGTCCTAATCAATCTTGTTCTAATGTTTCTTGGGAGATTCCCAAGAAACAGCTCTTAGACGTGGGGTTTCATCCTAGCAGGAACGCAAAGTGAACCCAGATTACTGACTCAATTTAACTATACATTCTTGGCAGAGCAGTTGGAGAGACTTGTTGACCTTTAGACCAAAATCAAAAAAACAAACACTTAAATTTGTTGGTTTCACATGACATTAATAATTCTGAATATTCAATGCCACTTTTTAGAAGATAAGTAAGAAAGAAAAAATTAAAACATCTTGGCATGGTTTCCAGTGAAGGACAAAACGTGCACCACAAATACAAAAAGTGCATCACAAGTTAGGGATTGAAATATTAGTGCTACCATCTCACATGCTTGATTATTATTTTCATAATATTATTTTAAGATTAATACAGGATTGAACTATAGTGGGGAAGTGACTTTCATTTTATAATAATCTGCTGTTCACCATGTTGTCTTTATGTTTACTATTAAATGTTTTGTACACATAGGTTATCTGATTCAAGGAAAATCTGTGCATCAGTGTTGGTAAACTTAATGACAAATTCTATTACAATTTTTAACGATATCCACTTTTATACCATTGCAGATTGTTACAAAAGAACACAAACCTTAATTTTATTATCATTAATCAGCATTAGTAAATATAATTGACATTTTATACAGAACCAGCTTTAAGTAACTTATTGGCAGCAGTACAGATACCTCTTAATATTACCCTCTGGCTAGCTACGCTGTTTGGGCGCCAGAGTGTCTGCACTAATGACTTGGAATTAAAATCAAATAAAAGCTGAGAACTGTAATTCAGTATAAAACAAACAGCCGGACTTAGTACTGACTTTTATATATATGATTTGGATATACCAGGATCTTTTTTAATTTGTGGTTGATATAAAACAGTGAAAGCATTTGATACTAGACAACAAAACAGGATAGAGAAAAAACAAATCTGATGCTCCCAGATTTCTACACTTACCCTATGGGCACACCATAAGAATTGGAATGAGAAGAAAAAGTAGACAGTGTAATTAACCTTTCCTTTCCATTTTTTAAAACAACAACAAAAAGGCAGAACATGTTAGACATTACAAATAGTAAAAAATACACATTTTTCTACCATTATTCTTCATCTCAGCAATTTCTGTAGTTTCCTGAGGATTTAATGTGCTTAGGCATGAAAGAGACCTAATCCTTGAAAAAAAAATTCCTATAAAGGCGTGGATTATGTTATCAAAAAGATTTAAGAAAACCTGCTTCACTGTACAACCAGGAAAGCTGCTCTGCCTCTCAAAGCCTCATGTCCTGACTTCCAGATATTGAGTGGTGTTTTTTTCCAGAGCATATCTGAGCCCTGTCTTCCTCACACCACCCATGTATGACCTATTTGACTTCAGCTCTGAGGGGAAGAAAAAAATAATACTAAAATACCAAAATACTATCTAGCACTTCTGTATGTTCTGATGGAGTCTCCAGGGGCCACTGTACATGAAAGCCTCCTGAAGGGTTACTGATAAATCTTGTTGCACATATCACTACTTAATCCAGTTTATCCCCATCCTTTGCTTCAATAATCTACATTTAAAATCACTATAATTTAATTCCAACTCTGAGGAAGAAAATCAGGATCTGGCTCTCTAAACATGACTAGTTTTATTCATTTATTCATCTAAAGAAGTTGATTCTTTTCTGAGCTCTCATTTTGATAAGACAGATAAGAAAACACAGGAAAATGTTTAAGCAAGAGTAGTGTATATTAAAGATTCCAAAGAATATCCATACTGTGTGGGGAAGACATAAATGTTATTATTATAAAACATACATGTATATGTAAAGTAATGCTCTTTCTTCATGGATCTGATCTCCTCCATGGAGAGTCACAAATCCACATGATAGCCCTGAGTGCTCAGATTTTGCATTTGCTTCTCTGATTTTACAATAGCTGAAAGGTATGTAAAAACTCATGTAGCCAGACAGCTCCCTACTGACTACATATCTAAGCAACTTCACATGCATACATTACTCCAACCACTGGGAGCTGGAAATAACACATACCTAAAAAAATTAAGAAAACTCATGCTTGAAAGGAGCCTGTTTCAGTTTGGAACCTCCAGGGCTCTCCCTGACCAGACTGCACCTTCCACAGAGTCCTGATTTCTAAGGCAGGGACATGCCAAACTACTGAGTTATGCTCTGCAGACTGAAGGGAGAAAATTTCTTCAAGACATTATAAAGATGGCTAAAATAGCAATTTGTTGTTGAATGCAATTCAGGGAAAAAAAAAAGAAAATAACTACTACTGTTTTGCTAGGGTTATCCTAGAGTGCTTTTATGATTCCCCCCCATTTTTAATCACAATTTCAGTAAACGACCACTGTCCATAAAAAGCATCCAGATTACTTTCATTAAAAATAATAATAATATACAACATGGACTAGATTGACATTATTTTGTTCACAGAAAACAACAAAATACCCAGGGCACTGTGCCTGACAGTATTGCTATGATAAAGCTATACTTGAAGTGTGTCCATTTGTAGTGTTGCACAGATTACAGCTCCTAGTGCCCCACTGGTTTTAGAAAGTGAATGGTTTACCTAACTTCACCTCAGGCCTTATGAGTTTTGTGTTTAACTAAGCAAGGGAGGATGAATTAAGATGCTTACTAGCTCTCTACAAAGGGGCCAGGTGAATAATAATATGTCAGCTTTAGGATATATAATCATGATTCCCACTCTGCATCCCCTTCCTCCTCTTCTTCTCCCCGTCCCCAAAATGTATTAAGATGGGAAATCAAAAATCCCTCCTGGTAGACTGTGAACCAAGATTTTTTAGAGGCTTTCAATTCACCATAGTTGGGCATTTTTCAGAGCCAAACCAATTTTCAAGCCATGACCAAAACAAGCAAAAATCTACAAACTTCAAAAAGGTATTAGAATGAGAATTAAGGTTTGTGTATATTTTCTTTCCATGGGCGAAACAACAGACATTCTCCTAACCGAAGTCATGGGATGTACTCATGAACTCTGCAACAGATTTCTACACAGCAGAGACATCAGGCATGGATAATTCTAATCTCAACCCTATAAACCACCAAATGTATAGGTAACAGAACACAGGCTCCTACAAGAGAAGGTGTTATCTGTACATGCTACTACCAGAATGTATGGATGCTTCTGTGATTCTGAAATACAGTTAGGTTCATATGTTAAAAAGTGTGAAATGAAATGTGTGCATATCTCATGTCCTTCAAAATCATTACTGATATATGCAGTAATTACTAGCTTGTGTTAAAAGACATCTACAAGGCACTGAAATGGAAATCAACAAATTCAAAGTGCTTTTTTGAAATATTTGTTTTCATCATGTATTGTCAAATACATAATGCATTTTTGTTCTCAGAAAAACCAAGCATTTTGTACATTCTCAGCTTCTTTTTTTTTTCTCTCATCAATAAATATTTAAACACATTCAACCTAAAAATCTCAAGCTGGTAATCTGCAGCTTGTGTCTTTCCCCCTGAGGTGTAACTATCAGCGTGGCAGTGCAGACTGCTGGAGAGACATTAAATAGATTGTGGTTACAGTCCTACCTGCCCACAGGCCAGTCCCATGCCTCGCTCCCCCATACCATGAGGACATGATAAATTTAACTCCAGTGCATCAGCACCAGCAACCTATGAAACATATGGAAGGAAAAAAAGTTAAAAACTAATTTCAAGTAACGTATTCTTTCCTGTAGCATTTACTGTTCATGTTACATAGATTTCTTCAGACATTTGACTAATTTTTCTTTTTTAAGAGAAAAAGCTATGGTTATAATACCCTAGAAAAGAAACATGTTGATCATTAGAGATAAAAACTTCAAAACCTGATGGTGTTTCCAAAGATTCTCAAGGAATTAGAGCAAAATACAAAGTAAAAAGATTTGAGCAGAATAAAGAGTTGGTTCTGGAAAATGTTAAAAAATTAAATGCAATTACAGGGCCTAAGAGCAGCACTAAGAGCTTTGGCAGGCAGTGTTACACAGGTGTTGCTGCGCTCTGAAGAACTGTAACTCAGTAATAAATGTTTCCTTTTTGCTCTAATGGATTCAGTCTCCAGATTTTCTGCAGGCACCTGTACTGTGCCATAGCTTTCGTCATGAAGTAAATTTATTTCTGAAGAACAAGAGGTTAATAAAAAAAAAAATCCAAACAAAGATATTAGTCAAGCTAATTCCTGTTCATCGTCCTCCATTAGTTACAATTAAAAGGGGAAGGAGCCGAGCTGTCCGAGGGCAGCACACAGACACGCTCCTCTTCCTTTCTGAACTGCTCCAGCCTGACACGAGCATCCCTCCTGTTGCTTTCCAGAGGCTCTAACTAGGGTTTTGTTCTGCATCTGCATTTTGTTTTGCTTATTGAGCTGGTGTAACTTTGCCTGCTGTGTGGCCATGGTTCAGCAGCTCCCAAAGTGCGTGAGCAGGGAGAAGCCATCCATCACTGGCAGGAAGCCTCCCCGCTCCGGCCGGCCCCGCCAGCCTGGCCACGCCGGGGCTGTCGGCCTCCCTGACAAGCTGACCTTTTGGATGAATAGGTCGTCCTCCTGCTGAGACACTGTGGTACCTTCTGGGGCTTCTGCTCTTGTGAAAGCCACATCTATTACCTCCTAGGCAGGATCCTACGTGCGATTAAACAGCCCTGCTCTTCAGCTGCGCATTCCAGGGCGCCCCAAACTTGTGCTGCTCTCCACAGGGCAGACACCAACAACTACTTCCCAGAAGAATGTTCTATCACATAGGTTACACACCATTGCCTGCATTTAAAGAACCACTCCTTTTCTAAAGGGGTAACATAAATACAAGCATGGATTGGAAATATGCGTCTTAAAGTTGCGCAGCAGTACCACCCGATTAAGAAAACAGGAGCAAATGGCACAGTAAAGCCATTCATCCTGATCAGTTTAAAAGTGGCACTGCTTCTGTCAAGCATAGATCTCAAAATATGATTTCATGGTCAATTAGGTAAATATAGGTATAAATTGAAATAGTGTTGAAGATCACCAAGCTAGCTACTGAAAATGTTGAATTTCAGTTCCCTAAGTCCCCAAAGTGACTTTTTTTCCTCATAGGTTAAAAATGCTCAAAGAAAATTGAGAAGTGTCACCCTACATAACCACAGGAGGGCTTAGGACACTGAGTAAAGCAACAGTGATGTCCAAACAGTCTGCCATACGAAAACACAAATTCAAAATATTCACACGTCTACCCATACATATATAAAAGCATATTTATAATTTAAACATTTAAACCTGAGGTAGTGCTAGCAATAACAATAAAGATTTTTTTCTTTACTTAAATTTGTTAATACTATGCTTTTAATTTCCTCTAGATACTTTATGTGGAAAACATGCTTTAATTTAAATGTAATAACTTTGCTTTCCATTCAGTTGTAGACACCTTTCCTATATTCAGATATAGACACTAATTTCTGAATGAAATTACCGCAGTCCTGATAGGTATTTCTTATACTACTCCCTATGGACACAGGTACATGTTATTAAATAGTTTTTTCCTCAAATTGAATAGAAATTTCAGATGCATAGTCTGTTTGCATTTCTGTAAGATTGGATTTATATTATAGAAAGCCTGGTGACTGCTATTATATATGCTGACTTTCTCAGCTATCATTTTTGAAAGTCTGTATTAAAACTAGAATAGCATTAAATGAGCCCTTTATACTTTAAATATTCAAGAGTTTTATATTCAAAATTTCTTCTGGTGCTGTCAAACTAGTGTGCCTCTAGGCAAGGTAAGATCAAGTTGGGTTCTCAAAGGTAGAATTAAATTTTATCAGGGCATCTGTCATAATATACAGTTTGCTTAAAATGCAAATAAAAAGTATATAGATTCAAAGACTAAAGGCTTTCCAGGTACTGCTTAAAAATCCAAGGGACCATTTTTATGGAAAAGATTTCCTTTAAATTTACATTTCCATCATTTTAATGAAAACACAGAATAAAGAAATTATAATGGACATGTTTTAAACTCTCATTTTTTACTTTGAATCTATTTCTTTCAAGAAATTCCTTACTGCAGCTCTTGTTTTCAAGGAGAATTTAAAAAAAAATGTGGAAACAGATTTAGGAAACCATTACCTGAGCCATTTTTGAAAGTTCAGTCCAGTCCTCCCTGCTATAGCTGCACATGATGCTGGCAATCAGAACCTGGAAAGAGCATACATACATTATTGTAATAGTGTACATTCCTGTGACTCTAGACATGAACTGCACAGCCTGCATATGGGAACTACCAGCTGTCTGCCAGGAGCTAGAGAATGAAATACAGCTGCAGACTCCACTGGGGACAAGAAACAGTGAACAAACTCATCTATTATATCCCTGGGTTTTAAAGAAGGTCTATCCATGTGCTTTCTCTCTGTCGTGTGACACAGTGACAACGAAGTCACACAGAGCCAACCACAAAACTGTCAGACATACTTGTTCTTGACGTCTGAGGAATGAAGTTGTTATTTACTGTTAATACAAATGACAGAAGCATTTTGACTATTTAGAGGTAGGAAAGACATCAGTGCATGAATTTACACTCCAATGTGGCAGTGTATGAACACAATATTCCAGATGACTTCAGGAATCCAGGACACATCAAATCCAGACCCTGGAATCTCTTACCATGCAACTTCAGGACAGTGAAAGGCAGCCAGAACTACTCTGTGTCCCAGAGGTAACTGGGAGGAGACTTTCAGGATGTGGGGAAGTTCTGCAGAACTGAGAGAATGGCCCAGGGAACCTCCAGCTTTTGTTATCCCACCGTGCAGATTCTATTGCCAATGCACCGACTGGCCCCAGCTCCCCAAAGCTATTCTGCGTAATTGCCATTCTTTTTCATTACACCGAGCACCTTTCAAATCCAGATTCTGCTTCTAGCTGCTGCTCCCTCTAGAATATTTCCTGAGGTTCATGTTTTTAGGTAAAATAAAATCTAACAGGATTCTTCAGGGTGTGGGGGGGGCACCTAAACACACAACATACCAGTTGCATACAGTGCTATTTACTGTTAAATGAATGTTAACTACTCCTCTGGTCAATACCCAGTTCAAGTGACAATTCTAATTTCCATTTAAGACTAAAATGAAATAATTTTTCTGGACTCAAAGGTTGAAATTCTGAGGTTGATACATTTGAGGTAAGATCAGCAGAGAAATCAGCCCAGAAACTCATGCATGAAGAACTTCTTAGAAGGATGATGTTTGGAAAAAAAATGCAACAATAAACTGTATTGCAGCAGCTAAAAGGTTACATCAGAAAAGCTATCAGAGAACTTAATAGAAGTCTCTAGTCTGTGTTCAAAGGAAACACGAGGAGAGGAGAACAGAGAAATATCTGGCCGTGCTCTTGTTTATTTGGCCCTCTTACATATAACTTTCATTTCACATGAAACTTTGATTGACAGGCAATGTGACATTTGATTTTAATCTTCTTGTTTTCCAAACAAGTTTTACTGTCTCATTAATATCTAGGGTTGGCTTAATCTGCCACCCCCTCATTTTAACACTTCTCTTGAACTTTCCCATAATTCTGAGGGTTAATGACTCATTCATTTCAAATAAATACTGAAAAGCATGGTGTAGAAAAATTGTCCAATACACACAATTGCTGGAAACTGTAAACTCCCAAATTATCTACATAAGAAGGAGGAGATATTTAGTATCTTCAGAAGGGAGGGAAACACACTTTGGAAAGTAAGGCAGGTATGGAGAAAATCTGACATGGTGAGGTTATATTCTATTAATTTAAAAGGAAATACCATGTATCATCATCATTATTTCCATTGTTTTGCTCTGATGAGTCTCTACAATGAGCCCACCTACCTGCAGACTGCCCACCCACCCACCCACCCTTCTGGCTGCTGTTTGCAGGATGGCAGTCTGGTGGGAAGGGAAGTGTTTGATGAAGTGCCTGCCTTGCCTGCAGGTGCCCATTTGGGCTCACCTCTGGCATAAATATAAGACTAAACTCTTCATTAAGCACACACAATCATTACTGCCCACGCTTTAATTCCCCTCTGACAGGGAAAAAGAGTCTCTCTCCTATACCGTAATGTTTTAAATAGGGAAAAATCTTATATAGCTGTATAGGTCAAATGTTAATGAAACAAAATCTGTTCTGTGTCCTATTTGAATATTCAAGATAAATTGAGGGCTCCAGAAACAAACAGAAATCTTTTTTAAAGGACTTTAATTTTTTAAAAGCAAAATTTATGAAAAATCCACCTAAGAAATTATATATGAGAAAAATTTAAAGCAACTGGAATTTATCTAGAAACTGTATCTTGTCAATTTCATGCTTTTCATAAACCAACTAAAACAAAAAAAACAACCCAGCAGCTCAGACACTGACAACATGATAAGGATTTTCACAGTTGCAGTCACAATCCAAAGTACATCAGAAATCTGCACAACTGAGCTTTAAAACAAACTGAATTTTTCATTGGGGAAAGTTGTAAGACAACAAGGGCAGCTGACTTAGATTCATAAGTAGTTGAGTTAGGTTACATCAAGTGTTACTAATGAAATTTGAAAATTCTGCTGGGAGTGTACAAAAGAGGAGGAACATGATCTGTGATGTTTCAAAGAGCTGTTAATTAAGATAACATGTTTATTTAATATTGATTAGTTTTAGGATTCATATTTAAAATTAAGCCCATACTTTTTGACAGAAGCAGTGGTTTACAACAAAAAATAAGTAAAAACAAAAATTACATTTTTGCCATGACTGTTCACAGGAAAGCCAGGATCTCAGAGGGAATAATGAAAATTTAAAAACAGTAGGGATTTTATGGTTTGTTTTGGTTTTTTTTTCCCAGTGTTCTTTTATAGCTTGAAAATAAACTTATTTCCTAAGTGGAAGAATATCCCCCAGTATTCTGTGCTAACAAAACTGTCTTGTCTCAGGTGACTTTTTTCCCCCAAAACACCTTCAGTCTTTTCATTTGGATTCAGTGCCCGAGAAAAAGAAATAATCACTGTCATGTATGAACATTTAGGGGAACTATTGGTGATGCCTGAGGTTCAGATCTACTCCTAAAATCACACATGGAAATTTATAAAGAAAATATAGACTATTATCTACCTAAAAGAGAATAGCAAGAACAAAGTAAGAATTACAAGTAATAACAGAGGTTTTATTGGAAAGTAATAAATGAGAACTGTATCACATTTCAGCTTCTAAGTCTCTTCTCACTCATATTTTCAGTACCTACAATGCCATGTACCACATTACCAACCCTGCACATTTAATAGCCCCAAACAGGTGCTATCTCATGGAAGTCCAGCACATGGCCCTGCCCAGGAGCATCTGCAGAGAGCACATCCTTCCTTTTGATTCCTCCAATTTTCAGTGGCAACCTGACGTGAGCTAATTACAGTGGTTGGAGCCACAAGTATGAGGCTGCACACGCTTCCCTGCTTACAAAAGTAGACTCCTGACAGATCTTACAATAAAGCTGCTGCTAAAGTGTGGTAAGTGGTAAATGAGGGTTGACTAAATTGCAGCTTTGTCACAGCTCGAGTGTGGGCTGCCTGCAAACTGTGCATGATTGAAGCACAGTGGGACCCCTGGCCCATTCCTTATTCCAGATCAAAATCATAGCTGGTATAGGCTGTTCCCTCTTCTCCTCCACCCAAACTGCTATTTTGCCTGTTGTGGGAGATGCTGCTGCCCCTCCCCACGCCAGGGAGGGCAGCAGCCCTGCAGACTCTGTCCCTCCCTGGCCATCACTGTGACAGATGCCACCAGACAAGGGCTTTTCACCCAGGCACCACACGTGACTGACAATTTCTCCAAATGCCTATAAAGTGACAAATGCACGTTTGCAACATCACACACTGCTCTGTGTTCAGCATTTTCCTGATCATTCATGGAACAAAGAGGTCCTCCATAAAACTTGCTTTTTGTTGGAGGGAAGGGAGGTGGAAAAGGGAGGGTATGTAATGTACCAGTTAGGACACCATTATAAGATGAATATACTGTAGCTAAAGCAGTAAAAAGCTACATTTCACACAATTCTGTGACTAATGCATTAGTAGTTGTTCTACTTAAAAGAACACTGACAAGGTACTTCTCATAATCCTTAAAATATTTTTCTCCCTGTTTATAATAATCCCCTGGAAGCTTAAACTAGAATCTATTTCCCTTGTGAATGTTCTTTTCCTCATCCATTATCTCTATGTGGATGTCTCATGAATGCAATAGAATGAAAAGAAATAATAAGGATGAGGTTTGCCACTGTGTACGTTTTCAAGTGATCCTTCTTTCCTAGCATACAGAATTCACTGCAAGAGGCTGCAAAACAAAAAGAAGGAGGGAAAAAAAACCCAAAAAAACCAACAACTGGGTCTAGTTTGGGTCACATCTACTTAAAGCCAGAAAGCAGTAAAACTCTACATTGACAATTACCATTTGTCCAGTACTGCTCTGCAGGGAGTAAGGGAGTTTCAGTACACTCGAACAGCCTGAAAAAAAGTCTCAGCAATCTGGATTTAAATGTGAACACTGTCAATTCCTACAAATTTAAGAAAAATTCTCGGCATACAGAATGAAATTACAGTCATCATGCCTGTGATAACCATATTTATTTTGGTCATCACACACTGGCCAGAGCCTGTATCTGTTCAGAACCTCCTCTTCCAGGCCTGTGTGTAATCTCCCTGCACTTCAGGAAACCAGCCACCATAAATTCTGCTTGCTCTTTTCTACCTGTACCTTCTTATTGCTGCACCAGACTTGAGGGCAGTTCTGCATCATGTCCATAGATGCTCTGTTCAGACACTGCTGCTGGCCACAATATGCACCCCTCTCTGATTTCTCAAACACTGACAAAAAGACACAGTATTTTATTTTTTAAGTGCAAAACCAGAAAGAGATTCTTAGCATCATCTTTAAAGATGGCTCCCCTGAAAGCTGTAAAATCAAGAGAAGCTTTCAAGAAGGCTGAAGGATTGGGTTTTTTAACAGCTATTTGTTTGGGAAGCAGAGATAAGGAACAGGATAACTGGTGTTTAAAGATGGGGTGCAGAGATTTAAGATTTTATTGAGAACCAGATTTCAATACCCACAGAATTACTGCTGATCAAGCTAAACTTCAAGAGGTATTTGTGTTTGGGTCAGATGGAAAGACCTCAAAATTCCTTTCAAGACACATTTTT